CCTGTAATCCCAGCACTTTGGGAGGCCGAGGTGGGCAGATCATGAGATCAGGAGTTCAACACCAGCCTGGTCAACATGGTGAAACCCCTGTCTCTTCTAAAAATACAGAAATTAGCTAGGAGGTAGTGGCACGAGTCTGCAATCCCAGCTCCTTGGGAGGTTTGAGGCAGGAGAATCACTTGAGCCTGGGAGGCGGAGCTTGCAGTGAGCTGAGATAGCACCACTGCACTCCAGTCTGGGTGAGTGACTGAGACCTTGTCTTAAAAAAGAAAAAAGAAAAAAGAAAAAATTTCAAAGCTCATCTTATTAACCATCATCACTTCTTTCATTATGACTTGAAATTGAATCAAAAGGGTATATAATTTTATTTACGACCTCCATTGTTTACTGGGATGGGATTTTAACTGTCAAACATAAAATATATCATACTGTAAACAATAAGTTATTTCCATAAAAAGCAAAAAGCATCTGTCAAGAAAGCAGCAGGCCTCTTCAGAGTATAGTGATGCCATACTCCCATGTAACACTGTTCTTAACAAAGGCAGATTTGGAGAAGGTGGATAAAAATTCCACATGCTGGGGAGATTTTTGAAGGCCAATGGGCTTTTAATTTTTGAGTCTCTTTAAGGAAGATTTGCAGTCCTGGAGTGTTCTTTGTGAACCCCCCTGAGAAAAATAATTGTGTTGCTAAAATTCTAGATTTACCATATACTCTAATGGGGAGTACGGTAATAGTCCTCTGTGAAAATAGCTGGCCCCTAGGAGGAAGTGGGGAGAAAGACAGTTGCAACAATCTCACAAAACGTTTCACAATCACACCAAAGCCCTGGGTAGAAAGGCGCTCACAGTATGTATCTCAGAGCTGGATCCAAGTGGCTTCTGCAACCCTCTGTCACCAAGTTCGTGATAGCCGGTCATGCACGGATCACGTTACCCAGCAAGCTTCTAATTATCATCATGGAATTCTTGGTGTGCCACAGAAACATTTATCAGTTATTTATAATATCAGAAAGCAAAGTTCGTGGACTTTCCTGTTGTTTGTTCACTGGTTCTTTGTGGACTCTATCCCATCAGTGAAGAGAAGAGCCTTTCTTAGAATTCAATTGACAGAGCCCCCTGGGCTGACTTCTCCATCCCTGCTGGCTGGGACAGATTCCATTCAGTCATTCCTCTAAAAAAATGCCTCGTCCAGCTGCCGCCTGCACCCAGGTTGGCTCTTTCACACCACAGATCTGCACTTGCTTCATTCAGCCCTGTGCAGCCTCTGGGATGAAACAGCTCTGACAGCTCACTTGGATATAGATGAAAGTTCTTCTCCCATCCTGACCGTCCCCCACCTCTTCATATGATTCAGCATGTGCATTCAGGAATTGCTCTACATGGAAACCCAAATTTACAGACCAATTTGTCAATTCATTAGAAGAAAGCAAGGTAGAGAGAAGATTAATCACCACCTTGCAGGTTCTGGGGGTTTAGTGGAGGCAGGAAGGGATAGTTCGCTCCTTCTCAGATCTACTCAGATCAACTCGTTGTTACGAAACACTTGTTTCTCAATCTACCTTAAAAACAAGCCTTGTAAGATTCGTAGAATTATTCGCTGGTTCTTTACTAAATCTGAGAGACTCACAATAAAGAATAGCAAGCAAATAAAGTTTCCTACAAGTTGTTAGCCCAATGAAACTAAAACCAATCATTATTTGGCAGGAAAAAAAATTAAACAACATTTGATGGCATTAAAACTAGTCAGCTGACTAGTCTTCTTATGTAAGTATGTTCCTTCAAAAGGGCAAATGTGGTCTAGTGTGGTGGCTCACACATGTAAGCCCAGTACTTTGGGGGGCCAAGGCAGGCTGATCACTTGAGGTCAGGAGTTCAAGATCAGCCTGGCCAACATGGTGAAACTCCATCTCTACTAAAAACACAAAAATTAGCTGTGTGTGGTGCCGGGACCTGTAATCCCAGCTACTTGGGAGGCTGAGGCAGGAGAATCACTTGAACCTGAGAGGTGGAGGTTGCAGTGAGCCAAGATTGCACCACTGCATTCCAGCCTGGCTGACAGAGCAAAACTGTGTCTCAAAATAAATAAAAATTTAAAAAAGCAATTGTAACCTCTGACTTCCACAGGAGACAAGGAGTGAGCCACAGGAGGAAGTTTAGAGCCCGACCTCTCTTATCTGAGCATTTCAGGCTTCTTGGGGGCAGGACAGTACATGATCCTGCTGCATTTCTCAGCAAAAGAAAAAAAAAGTGTCATCAGCTCTTTCATGCACATGAGTTTTCAGGGGAAGAGTGTTTCTGCCTCATCGTCCTCCTATTTCATGCAATAGCTTCAGATGGTTTTACAATAGCCCCGTGTGCTGAAATGAGGCAAACATGGCCTGTGGTTCTTTCCTGTTACAGGAAGCAGTGTTCACATTGCCCAGTGTTTTAAAACCCAAAATTGACCCTTGCCTAAGTGCAGCATAAAGTATTTTATAAGTCAAGATGTTTTGATCTTTTGTTGATGTCATCATTTTATTATAGAGTTTCTAGTTATGAACACAAGATAATGGACTATTGTATTTTATTTTTGAGATGGAGTCTTGCTCTATTGCCAAGGCTGTAGTGCAATGACACAATCTTGGCTCACTGCAACCTCTGTCTCCCGGATTCAAGTGATTCTCCTGCTTCAGCCTCCCAGGTAGCTGAGATTACAGGTGCCTGCCACCATGCCTGACTAATTTTTGTATTTTTAGTAGACACAGGGTTTCACCATGTTGGCCAGGCTGGTCTTGAACTCCTGACTTCAAGTGATCCACCTGCCTTGGCCTCCCAAAGTGCTGGGATTACAGGTGTGAGCCACTGTGCCGGTCAAGTTAATGGACTCTTAACAAGCTTCTTATCAACTGGCAAACTTCAACCATTTCTTTATTTTATTTTATTTTATGTATTTGTTTATTTTGAGACAGGGTCTCGCTCTGTTGCCCAGGCTGAAGTGCAGTGACATGATCACAGCTCACTGTAGCCTTGGCCTTCCAGGCTGAAGCAATCCTCCCAACTCAGCTTCCTGAATAGCTGGGACTACAGGTGCATACCACCACATTTGGCTAATTTTTGTATTTTTTAGTAGAGACAGGGTTTCATCAGTTGGTCAGGCTGGTCTCGAACTCCTGACCTCGTGATCCACCCACCTCAGCCTCCCAAAGCGCTGGGATATAGGCATGAGCCACCGCGTACCACCAAAATCACTTTTTCTATATGCAACTTGCTTTTCTCCTTAATCATCTCAATGTCTNAGATAGGGTCTCACTATGTTGCCCAGGCTGGTCTCAAACTTCTGGGATCAAGCAATCTTCCTGCCTCAAAAAAATTTTATCTTTGTTCTCTTATGAGTGGGATAGTGGAAGTTTAGTTTTTAATTCTGAATTACAGAATTACAGTTATGACCTTGCATTGCCTTGCTCCTGGCTGCTCTTTGTGGTGTTTAGGGACCAGCAGAATCAGGAGCTCCTGGGAGCTTGTTAGAAATGCAGAATTTCAGGGCCCTCCGCAGACCTACTGAGAATCTGCATTTTAAGAAGATGTGATTTTCTGATGAGCTCAAGTCTCTCCCCAGCCTCCCCTAGGCTTCATCTTACATCTGATACCTCCTCCAGCAGCTCTCTAACTCCTAGCTCTCCTAATTAAAGATGTTATTGCTATGAGTCCCATTTCCATTCATCATTACACTGGTAGTTAATATTAGTGGGAAGCTTACTGGCTCTCTTGATAAAAAGTCACTATTAATGTTTGAATAAGTGAACGTGTATTCATTTGTCTGGCTGTTGACAATGTTTAGTCTAAATTCTCAAAAAAACAGTGGCTGTGTTTATTTCTGTCTCTTCACACTGTTCCTGAGATAGGCCTTACACTCATATTTAGGTGATCATGAGATGTCCAGCATTGTGTCATAATTCTTAAGCAATATCATCTAAGACTAAAGCTGAGTTTCCTAAGAGGCGAACATGATGAATCAAATAGGTAAAATAACCATATTGGCGATGATCTCATTGACAAAGCTGCTTTATTTACCCCCTTTTGGCCAGAACACAATTCCATTTTTTAATGTATCGTCATGTACCACAAAATGACATTTCAGTCCACAAGAGAGCACATATGCAATGGTGGTCCCTTAAGATTGTAATGGAGCTGCCCCCTACAGGTGTACCATTTCTTATGTTTCACACTCTATTTTCACTGTACCATTTCTATGTTTGGATATGTTTAGATACACAAACACCTATCATCGTGTTACCATTGCCTACAGTATTCAGTCTAGTAACGTGATGTACAGGTTTGTGGCCTAGGAGCAGGAGGCCATACCATGTAGCTCAGGTGTGTAGAAGGCAACACCATTTGGGCTTGTGTAAGTGCACTCTATGATGTTGGCACAATGACAATATTGCCTAACAATACATTTTTCAGAATGTGTCTCTGTCGTTAAGCAATACCCAACTGTATGTGTAATATTTTAAAGGTTGCAATAATGTGCTTTAAAAATACATACCACTCCAATGTGTTTGGTGGTGGTGGTGGTCTTATTTTGGTATGTTTGTTTGTTGCAAATAAAAAATGTATTTGATGTCTAAGATACCCTAAATAGAAGCCATAGTTTAACATTTTATATGAGAAATATTTTGTTATAAATTGACATAAATACCTAGGAAAATACTGACATTGTCAATAAAATAAGTTCATTACCTCTTAGTGTATGTTATTTTCAAAATAAACTATAATCTGTAGTTCATTGTCAAATCAGAATTACATGAAGATTAAGAAAAGCAAAGACTACGTAATGCAATAATGTTCTGTACCTATACCAGTAAGTTTGATTAGAAGAATGTTCTGTAAGTAGCATTTTCTAACTGATTCTGTGTATTCTAGCCATGAGAATCTTGACTGAACCTATTGTGTAGAACCCAACAGGCCCAGGTATCCAATGATAAACATCCCTGGAAGGCCTCTGTCTTTAGCTGAAGCTGGACAATTGGATTCAGAGATGTTAGGACACGGGCTCTGGAACACAGAGACCTAAAGGCAGACCTTATCTCTACCAGTTACTGTTTGACCTTGAGCAGTTAACAATTCCTCATCTTTAAAAGGGGATTCATAGTTCCCTCCTATATCGTTGCTATAATGTGAGGATTAAATGCAGTAATACCGTATAAAATATTTAGAGCAATATTAGCAAGTATTACAATTGTTGATTTAGGCTGTTAAACAATTACAAAACAGTAGTCAGTATTTGTAAGTTGTTTCAGTTAAAGATGTTTTAAATTTAATACAATTGAAGGGCTAGGTTCCCATCTCCAGACAAATAAATTCTAAGTAATACTGTATCCTTTTGCAGGTAGAAGAAGCAGATGATTGGCTCAGACATGGAAACCCGTGGGAGAAGTCCCGCCCAGAATTCATGCTGCCTGTGCACTTCTATGGAAAAGTGGAACACACCAAGACCGGGACCAAGTGGATTGACACTCAGGTATTCAGAATGCGCGTATAGCCCGCATTTTGTATGGTATTTAGCACAGTAGACAACACATTGAATATGTAGTGTACAGTGTGATATTGAGTATTGAATAATAGAATACATTTTTGTAAATAAATGTGTTACTTCTTTTACTGCAACCCACTTGTTTTGGAGACAAGGGAGCTGAGGTCAAAAGAGAACTGACTCCCTGAAGGTCAGGTGACTTACAAGGGTCATTTTGCAATCAGCTTTGTCAGAAAATTCTTAGTTTTTTTGTTTTGTTTTTGAGACGGAGTCTCCCACTGTCTCCTGGGCTGGAATGCAATGGCCTGATCTCAGCTCACTGCAATCTCTGCCACTGCACCTGGCCAGAAAGTTGTCAGTTCTGTAGTAACCAGCACACTTAGCTCTTCGTTCTTATGTTAAGTTGTTGATACAAAATTGAATAATTTTAAATGTCGTTCCTGGCTGGGCGTGGTGGCTCTTGCCTGTAATCCCAGTACCTTAGAAGGCCGAGGCAGGCGGATCACCTAAGATCAGGAGTTCACGACCAGCCTGGCCAACGTGGTGAAACCCTATCTCTACTAAAAACAGAGAAATTAGCCAGGCGTGGTGGTGGGCAGCTATAATCCCGGCTACTCAAGGCTGGGGCCACTGATCCAGGAGAATCGCTTGATCCTGGGAGGCGGAGGTTGTAGTGAGCCAAGATCACGCCATTGCACTCCAGCCTGGATAACAAGAGTGAGACTATGTCTCAAAAAAAAAAAAGTCATTTCTCACCCCAGCACCAAATATTAACATTTATTTGCAACTTCAAAGGGATAAACATTTAATACTGAAAAACTTATTTCAAAAGATTACCAAAGTCCTTATGTATTATGAAGTCAGAAAAATAATGCAAAATATTGCAAACTGTTATTTTTCTCTAGGAGTGCCATATCACTCCTAGAGAAATAATGCTGGTGTCTATTCAAGTGTACTTATTTCATGGACATATATGTATTCTGACACTAAATTTGAGTATTGCCCTGTCGCTGAATGAAGGCATCACCAGTGGTGGTTTGAGCTTTGCTGTCTTCGTGCCCACTGATAAATAATCCCTATTAACAATATTCAGCCATTCTTTTAAAACTTGAAGAAAACGATAAAATCAAGTAAATGATATTCTTATATGTGAAAATTGGGAGAAAAATTTAGTATTATTATAGTGTTAAACTTGGTTGGTTTGGTATTATTCTTCCAAAATAAATGTTTCATTTTACTTCAGAGGAGCCAAAAGCTGTGTTATTGCTGCTTTAAAAAACAAAAACAAAAAACCGATGGTTTATTTTGCTAATCCATATAGAGCTATTCACAGTATAGAAAAATAATGACATTTTAAAAACTGTTTCCTATCTGAACATACATTTATTTAGCACATGAAATAACAGATTAGAAGTAAGTAATTAAAGCATAATGGTATAGGAAGAGTAAACTAATACGGTGACTTGAAGGGAAGTTCTTGTTTTGGTTTTGATGTTTGTTTGTTTTCGTTTTGGTTAAACAGTAGGCCATAATCTAAGTTTACAACTGTCATCAGGAAAGCTGTACACAAATCAGTCATTTAATACACCCAAAGAAATTCACATATGTTTGATATTAAAGTAGAAAGTATCTTCTATTAGACTTTGGCACCTAAACTTAATCAGCGGCTTTTGATCTGTCTAAAAGTATGCAGTTTACTGGCCAGGCATGGTGGCTCACAGTCATCCCAGCACTTTGGGAAGCCAAGGCAGGCAGATCATTTGAAGTCTGGAATTTGAGAGTTTGAGACCAGCCTGACCAACATAGTGAACCCCGTCTCTACTACAAGTATACAAAAATTAGTTGGGCATGATACGGGCGCCTGTAGTCCCAGCTCCTCAGGAGGCTGAGGCAGGAGGATTGCTTGAACCCAGGAGGCGGAGGTTGAAGTGAGCTGAGATTGTGCCACTGCACTCCAGTCTGGGTGACAGAGTGAGACTCCATCTCAAAAAAATAAAATTAAAATAAAAATATGCAGTTTACACAATCAATCCTGAAAGCTATTTTATTTACACTGTGGGTCCCACTGCTGAGCTAACTTGTATTTACAAAGCACCTCTAGATATCTTCATAATGTATCCAGAAATTCAATTAGAGAGAGTGTGTGTTTCTGGGCCCACAGAGGCAAAGTTATGGGGCAGCGGTAATGTAAGTGAGCTGGCCCAAGTCACACAACTTAGCTTTATAGATTGAAGTCATCACATGGATTAACCCCAAGCTGATACCCAGTGAGGTCAGAGCATGAGGCCAGATGTGCTCTGTGTGTGCATGGGATGGCTTCCAATAAAGTGAAATGACACAGTCACCTGTCAGTCTAGGTCCTCTAGGAAGCAAACACCAGAGAGAATGTGAAGTGCAAGTGACATATTGGGGGATGCCTATGAAGGATCAAGGGGAGAGGGAGCAGAACAAGGTAGAAAGTCTTCAAACTGTGACACAGCTGTGCCACCTGTGAAAGGAGACCACAGTGCCACTCTGAGCAAGTGGCCAGGCTGATGGAGCCTGAGACTAAAGATTACCCATTCAAGAAGTCCTGACCCTAGTGTCCTAACAACATGGAGCACTCCAGAGGGCACAGCCTTGGTGTGAGCTCTGAGGGAGCAAGTTCTCTTTAAAGTTCTCTGAAAGATCTAAGGTATGTACTTTCTGGGTTACCTTAATTATGCTTCAAGGATCAGAAGGCTCAAACTCTTGTTTGAACCCAGACTCAATCCCAGCCTATAAATGACTTTCCCTGACTGATCACTTTTGTCTCTTAATGAAAGATATAAATGAGGGTGATTTATTACTTCAAGGTCACAGTGATCATGAAAGCATGACTGAATATATGTGATTGATACGGACTGTGACGCTTCATTCATTCATAATTCAGTAGACCGATTAAAGAGATATATGTGTTTAGGTTTCAGTCCTGCCATGACTGTGACCTTGGGCAAGTCACTTCTCTCTTAGCTTCAGCTCCCTCATGTCCAAAATGAGTGGGTTGCATTAAATGAGATCTAGCATCCTCCAGTTCAATTAGTCTGTCATTCTCCTTCCTTTGAGCTTGACTCAGATGCAACAGCGAATATGAATCATTTCTCACATAAATTTTCGATATACTGTGAAACATTGTTCATCTTCCCGTTCTCCATTTCAGTGACTGTCACAAAGATCAAGCTAGATTTTCCAAAGCTTACCACTTAGACTCAACTCAGCTAATTATCAGCTAATTTGGCAGATCACTATAGGAATCACTAAAATAACTCCTTATGCAACTTTTAGAAATCTAGCACAACATTTTAAATATTATATGTGATGTTATATCTTCATAAGTTTCCTATTCCATTGATTTTCATATTTGAAATCAGATCACTGAAAAACCTATGCAAAACGTATTCTAAGTGCTATTTTTTGGTGGGTACAGATTCACATTGTCACTTTGTTCGTACATCATATTTTATTATTATTAGAGCAATGTCTTGATCTGAAACATGAAAGATAAACTTTTTTGAGTACTAATACCATATCATTCCATTCCACTGCATTTATATCAGGGAAAGGGCATTTGGGAGAGTCAACATAGAAATATTATAAAGGGGCCAGGAGCGGTGGCTCATGCCTGTAATCTCAGCACTTTGGGAGGCTGAGGAGGGTGGATCATGAGGTCAAGAAATCAAGATCATCCTGGCCAACATGGTGAAACCCTGTCTCTACTAAAAATCCAAAAATTATCTGGGCGTGGTGGCACGCGCCTGTAGTCCCAGTTACTTGGGAGGCTGAAGCAGGAGAATCGCTGGAACCCAGGAGGTGGAGGTTACAGTGAACCGAGATCATGCCATTACACTCCAGCCTGGCAACAGAGCAAGACTCCATTTAAAAAAAAAAAAAGAAAGGAAGAAATACGGTAAAGGATTTCTTTACATCATCAGTGTGGACTGTTCCAGTCACCAAATTGTACCAGGTCGGGGAGGAACCCCCTCCTTCTAATTATGTGTTCCTCTAATACCCTCTGCAGCCTGGGATCCTCTTCTCAGTTTAGGACTCGCACAATTTGAGTTGGTGATGGCGCCAGAAATAGAATTTCATTGCAATCTCCTAACCCCTTGTTCAACCTGTGTCATCACACTTGGGAAACAATGAGCAGCTGCTTCTGTTTAATCCCACAGGTGGTCCTGGCTCTGCCATATGACACCCCGGTGCCTGGATACATGAATAACACGGTCAACACCATGCGCCTCTGGTCTGCTCGGGCACCCAATGACTTTAACCTCAGAGACTGTGAGTACAGCACAGGCCTTGGTTTCTTTATCCATGTGCTTAATCTTTTTGATTGGTAGTTAGAACCAAATTGAGCTTGAAACAAACAAAAAAGCCTTGAGTTTCTGATCTGAAGGTCAGTGACTAAGCAGGCATGGTATGGAGGAAGTAGGGAGGGCATTTTTGAAACAATCTTCAGTTTGACCCTCCCAGATTCTCATGTGAAGTCCAGCATGAAGATATGTTGAAATCCTTTGGGATTTTTAGGAATTTTAGGAATCCCACATGACACACAGCAAACAGCCAGTGAGATCAAGAGGTTTCCAAAAACAATGGCTGGTTTCACTATTTATTGTTTCTCTGACTTTCCCCTAGTTAATGTTGGAGACTACATTCAGGCTGTGCTGGACCGAAACCTGGCTGAGAACATCTCCCGGGTCCTCTATCCCAATGACAATGTGAGTGATCAGGATTGCATTCTCAGTGGCTACAGCAGCAGCTTATTCCACAAGAGCCTGTTCAGTAACCCATAAAACACCTTTAATATAATGTTTTTCCATGTGCAGAACAAGCTCCACATTTCTTCCTGAATTGTCTAGATTTCCCCTCCTAACCAAGTAAGGAAAAAGATCCGTATAATTCATGAAATCAGAATTGGTATTTTGCCCTTGATTCGTGACCCCATCACTAATTGGGAGTTTCTGGAGATGTATTTTAAAACAAAACCTGGATATAAGAGATGAAGTAAATCAGTGGTGAAGCACTGCTTCTTTTCCAGATAGAAATTTCATCTGCAAAGTCAGAATCACTGACTTCCTGCCTCACCCCTTCCCTCACTGGCTAGGCACTTTCTGGTTCTCTACCCTAGTGCTAGGTGGAGTCAGAGACCTTGGGACAGACCCATAAACAAACATCTGTTTCTTCTGCCACTTACTTATGTCTTTAAACTTTTTCTTCTCATTGATTATTCTAAACTTATTGTAAATATAGCTTAGTTAAAAACACACACATACACTTTGGACTGGGTACGATGGCTCACGCCTGTAATCCCAGCACTTTGGGAGGCTGAGGTGGGCAGATCATTGCAGGTCAGGAGTTTGAGACCAGCCTGGCCAACATCGCGAAACCCTGTCTCTACTGAAAATACAAAAAATTAGCCAGGTGTGATGGTAATCCCAGAAACTCCGGAGGCAGAACAATTGCTTGAGCCTGGGAGACAGGTTGCAGTGAGCCAAGATTGTACCACTGCACTCCAGCCTGGATGACAGAACAGGACTCCATCTCACAGCAAAACAAAACAATAACAAAAACGAAACACACTTGGAACGGATCTCAGATAACTGCTTTCGATTCTTGGTTGTTTTAAATATATGTAGCTCTAAACTTCTCTGTATGTAAAATCATTTTCTTGAAGCTGTAATGATTTTGTTTAAGTCATCTCAGAAGCAATAAAATTAGCACTCTGCTTTATAAAGATGGCAGAAAACAAGGATCTTAGGGGCACTAGGACATAAATAGTCCTTAATACCAGATGTCCACTTGGTGTTAAAATCGTAATCTCTCAGAAGGCAGTTTTGCTGCAGCATCTTTAGGAACCTAATGATATATGTTATTATTCTTTTGAGGAAAGCATTGTGACTTCAGTACATTTCAGAGAAATCTGTAACCCAAAAGCAAAAAGTTATTCTACATCAGGATCAAAGTAAGAATTCTCCAAGTCTGGGACCATACTACCAACCCAAACTCAGGTTCCAGGGGTTTGAAATTCATCCTTCTGTCTTCCGTAAGGACCAAAGCTAATTTTACTAGGAAATAATCATCTGCAGTAACTGACAATACATTCTAAATTAGCCTGGGTTAAAAAGTTGGCTAGGTTTGTTGGCTGAAAGGTAGCTCTCAGGATCATGTTTTTGCTTGTTTGTTTGTTTGTAAGAGTGAGCTGATAAACCCTTTTTGTATTGTAATTACAATAACAAATTCGTCCTTCTCCTCAATTTAGCCATAGCCCTAGTTCAAACATTAGTCTCTCTTCCAAAAAGTCTGCACCTTTCTTCACTCTGCAGCTTTGAGATATTTGTTCCCTGCTTAAAACTCTTGAAAGACTTTGGATTGCCTAGAAGCGAAGGACAGACTCTTAGTTATGTTGCCTAAGTTCTTCATTGGTGTGATCACCAGTTCCCTGATGCGTCTTCCATGATTTTGCCCCAACAGTAGCCCCCAGCTGTGCAGGACTATTGACCCTGTTCCTTACCACTTCCTTGCCTTGCACAGCATCCTTTGCTTGCAGGGAATATTCTGGCCCTCTGTGTCAATTCTGACACAACCCTACTTATCTTTCAGGGCTTAGATGAAGAATTATCTCATCACCCAGGTTCTCAAAATACTCTGTATTTAGCTTAACTTAATTGTTTTTTTTAAAAATCATCACATTGTATTTATAGCCTTCTTTACACTCCTCCTCTCCCTACTAATTTGAACTTCTTGAGGTCAAGGATTGTGTTTAATTAATCATTTTATTTCTTAAAACTTTCCTGGCTCAATAAATGTTACAGTTTATTAGAGATGAATTCAATAGTGCTATTTATTATTTTTGAGAATGACTTCATTATAATTTTTATAATGATATATGTCATTAGAAAAAATATTTAAGTAACATAAAATGTACCAAGAATAAAATAAAATCTCATTCCTAATTCTACCACCTATAAATTCCCATTGGTACAGGTTGAGTATACCTTATCCAGAATGCTTGGGACCAGTAGTGTTTCAGAATTCCGATGTTTTCAGATTTTGGAATATTTGCATATACATAATGAGGTATCTTGAGGATAGGGCCCAAGTTTAAAGACAAAATCCATTTATGTTATATATACACATTATACACACAGCCTGAAGCAATTTTATACAGTATTTTTAGTAGTTCTGTGCATGAAACAAAGTTTTGACTGTATGTTGATTATGACCTGTCACGTGAGGTCAGGGGTAAAATTTTCCACTTGGCAGTGTCACATGAGTACTCAAAAGTTTCAGATTTTGGATTTCCAAATTAGAGATGCTTGACCTGTACTATGAATCCAGGCGGTTTTCTATTAATGACTTTTAATTTTTAATCCAGCCTTTCAATTATCAAAGTTGTACATACACATAATTGATTTTCTATATACTTACCTCCATATTTCTTTTTGTTTTTGTTTTGTTTTTTGAGATGGATTCTTGCTCTGTTGCCCAGGCTGGAATGTGATGACGGAGTCTCTGCTCAGTACAACCTTCGCCTCCCAGGTTCAAGTGATTCTCCTGCCTCAGCCTCTGAGTAGCTGGGATTACAGGCGCGTGCCGCCACACCTGGCTAATTTTTTGTATTTTTAGTAGAGTCAGGGTTTCACCATGTTGGTCAGGCTGGTCTCAAACCCCTGGCCTTGTGATCTAGCCACCTCAGCCTCCCAAAGTACTGGGATTATAGGCATGAGCCACTGCACCTGGCCTTACCTCCGTACTTCTGAATAACATGCAGTTACTGCTATTTCTTGATTTTTTTCATTTTTACAATTGTTTGTTGACTCCCCACCATTGAAGATGAGAATCTAGCTCACATCCTCACATATACTCCCATCCTCACCACATGAACACATACTTCCCATCCCCAATTCTCTCAACATACTTACATCATAATTTCCACCAGCTCCTTAATCAGCATTTCCATTATTGTGACTATGTAAATGCTACAGACAGCTGATCTGTGCGTATGTGTGTCTTCATATAATGATTACTTTTCTTTTTCTTAAAATGTTGAACTTATCCTGGAATTAATAATTGTTAATTGCTTTGCTTGCTTGGTTTTCTGAGTAATTTTCCCTAATTTAGCCCCTACTCTACCCAGTTATATACATTTCATCTCAATATGTTCACCTTAGGTATTCCATTAACTAAGTCTTTTTTTCTGATAATTACTTTTTAGTTCATTTAAATATCCACTCTTAGTAGTTAAATCCCAGAGGAAAATGCTAATTATAGGAGTGTGTTTAACTGAAAACTCATATTTCCATTTAAGTTTAGGCAATTATTCTTAACAGAAGGTATACAAACTAGTGCTGCAATAAAGCCTCCATCAAGTATCTCATACTTAAGCAAAGACCCCCAAATTGTAATTTGTAGCTTATTGTAGTTTTCATTCAAAATATGTTTTATGGCCTGGTGAGGTGGCTCATGCCTGTAATCCCAGCACTTTGGGAGGCCAAGATGGGCAGATCGCTTGAGCTCAGGAGTTCAGGACCAGCCTGGGCAATGTGGCGAAACCCTGTCTCTACAAAAAATGCAAAACTTAGCTGGGCATGGTGGTGCGTGCCTGTAGTCCCAGCTACTCGGGAAGCTGAGGTGAGAGGATTGCTGGAGACTGAGAGGCAGAGGTTGCAGTGAGCCAAGATCACATCACTGAACTCCAGCTTGGGTGACAGAGCCAGACCCTGTCTCAAAAATATAAATGTAAATAAATAAATAATATGTTATATAAATATATAATTTTAAATATATATATATATTTGTTTGATATTATCTGCGATCCAGGAAATTACCAATATATTCCTATCAGGCTATAAAACAGGAAACCCTGACATAGGTCAGTGATAATACTTTTAATAATTAGGGAGTTTAAAGCCCCAGATATTCTATATGCAGACCCCTATGCTCATGTTTGTTACTTTTAATAATATTCTGGTCCAAGGCTCACATTTGGGGGTCAGGGTTCTCATCATTTAAAAAATTTTAATGTTAATAGTTTTAGGAGTACAGATAGTTTTTGGTTACATGGCTAAGTTTTTTCACGGTGATTTCTGAGATTTTACACACCTGTCAGCTAAGCAGTGTACATCCAGTAAGTCGTCTTTTATCCCTCAAGTCCTCACAGTCCATTATATCATTCTTATGTCTTTGCATCCTTATAGCTTAGCTCCCACTTACAAGTGAGAACATATGATATTTGTTTTTCTATTCCTGAGTTACTTCGCTTAGAATAATAGCTTCCAGCTCCATCCAAGTTGCTGCAAAAGACATTATTTTGTTCCTTTCTATGGCTGAGTAGTATTCCATGGTGTATATATCTCACATATTTTTTATTCGCTCATTAGTTGGTGGGCACCTAGATTGGTTCCATATCTTTGCAATTGCAAATTGTGCTGCTATACACATGTGTGTGTACATGTGTCTTTTTCATATAATAACTTCCTTTCCTTTGGCTAGATACCCAGGAGTGAGATTGTTGGATCAAATGGTAGATCTACTTTTAGTTCTTTAAGGAATCACCATACTGTTTTCCACAGTGGCTGTACTAATTTACATTCCCACCAGCAGTGTAAAAGTGTTCCCTTTTCACCACATCCACGCCAACACCTATTGTTTTCTGACTTTTTAATTATGGCCATTCTTGCAGGAGTAAAGTGGTATCTCATTGTGATTTTAATTTACATCTCCCTGATAATTAGTAATATTGAGCATTTTTTCATGTTTGTTGGCTGTTTGTATATCTTCTTTTGAGAAGAATTGTCTATTCATGTCCTTTGTCACTTTTTGATGGGATTATTTGCGTTTTTTTCTTGCTGACTTGATGAGTTCCTTATAGATTCTGGATATTAGTCAAGGCTCACATTTTTAATAGAAGTTACAATTTTTAATTCTACAACCAGGTAAAGATAGGGCAGCTCCATGATCTATAAAATCGAAGTGTGATGGCGCAGGGTTAGGACCATTCCTTGGTGACATTTACATGGTCGAGCTGACCGACAGCAAATTTACATGGGGGGAAGTTGGAAGCTGGCCGCCATCATGGCCTCTAAGGCCTCCACCCTACACAACATGGCCTGGCTGCAATCCTGTCTCACAGTCATGTAGGGCATTCTCAGCCAGTCGTGGTTCTCCACATGGTCCACGGCTGCCATTGCTTCCCAACCTGTCGCCTGCCAGGCATGTGACTGCAGGGAGGAGGGCAGTCATAGACATGGTGCTGGTTGTGCTCAACTGCAGGAACTGGGGATAAGGTCTGAGGCCAAGCATCCTTGGGCTGTCAATTAACCTTTCTCTCATCTTCTTCCCTATTTTCGAAAGCACTTGGTACTACCAATTCCTGAGCCTTGAGGGGTTCCAATACACACACTGAGTTGCTTTTTGGCTCTTCTCTACTACCAGGTCAGGATTTGGCTGCCTTGGGTCTTCTGACTCACTCACCACTCATGCATCTGGTTTTCAGCCTCTAAAAGGTTGTTGCTGTTGTCTTTCTTCCAACCTCTATATCTTTTATCTGTATGCTTTTGGAGAATCCTTTTACTGCCATTTTAATGGAATCTCAGAAAAGAGCAAAGGTTCACAGTTTGGCATTCAAACTGCCATCCCTCAGCAGATGTCCAATAGGCCTTAGCCTTAAAGATCCCAGGGTAGGAGACACCAGTCACATTTTGGCCACACCTACAATATGAAACATTTTCATCCCGTCTCTCTGGCTTGAAGTTTTTTGAAGGGAAGGAGCTCAGATTGAAGCAGGAATACTTCGTGGTGGCTGCAACCTTGCAAGATATCATCCGCCGATTCAAAGCCTCCAAATTTGGCTCCACTAGTGGTGCAGGAACGGTGTTTGATGCCTTCCCGGATCAGGCAAGTATTCAGTCTGTGGATGTAGGTGGGGTCCACTGAGGGGCTGACTGGGATTTCCTATCAGATTAATTCCTCTCTCTCAATGCTAAAAAAGTAGAGCAGGAATAGTGTGCATCAAGCATTTCACAGAAGGTGGGCATATCATCAGGTGCTTTCTCCAGATGTGTTTGGACAAGGAAGCCAGAACCTCAGCCATCGTCACCTTCACGCTGATGTCTTTCCCCACCCAGGTGGCCATCCAGCTGAATGACACTCACCCTGCACTCGCCATCCCTGAGCTGATGAGGATTTTTGTGGATATTGAAAAATTGCCCTGGTCCAAGGTCTGGATAGTTTGGCTTCTTTTTCCTTTAATTAATCAGAATGCCTGCAGTTGAAAGACTTTGCCAAAAACTCCCTTTTTAGTTTCTCAAAGTAAGTTATTGTTGCTAACTTCCAGCAGTTATTCCCTAATGCTGACCATTCTCCATCCTTAGAGTTTTACAGGGAAGTAAGACTATAAATAAATGAATACATTCCTAATGGGACACAAATCAGTGGCTGTATTAAAGCTTATATGGTGTTTACCATTTTTGTGTTGAAAAAGATTCAAAATTAAATTCTCTAACCTCAGAAGACAGCTAATTAAGTGTCCCCATAGCTGTAGAAGTCAGCATTTTACATACTTTGTACTTGCTGACAGCACTACTTATGTTTTCATTTCTCAGTCTTTGTATATTTGATAAATCAGAGGCATGTAAGGATAGTAAATAGATTAATCAGAATGCTGTCTTAATTTCACCAGACAGCTTTACAAATGGCTTCCCCTCACACCTAGAACATACTTTCATTCTCTGGACTATTCAAGAACTTAGTGGAATCGAGTGTGTCTGACTATGCACACTCAGAATTGTCCTGTTGCAGGAAGGGTAGGGTTGAAGAAGGGTGTGGTCTGTGCAGTGGGGTGTCCCCCTGCAGGGGAAGCAGCTGACACCTCCCCTTCCCCCAGGCGTGGGAGCTCACCCAGAAGACCTTCGCTTACACCAACCACACGGTGCTCCCAGAAGCCCTGGAACGCTGGCCCGTGGACCTGGTGGAGAAGCTGCTCCCTCGACATTTGGAAATCATTTATGAGATAAATCAGAAGCATTTAGATGTAAGTCATTTTGAGAGATTTTCTTCCCTTCATGAGAGCAAAGTCTTAAGGTGTTACATATGGCTACAGTGTTCTTTCTTACCAAACATCTTTCGATCATTGATACATCAAAAGTACTCAAGTCCAAGTGGGGTTCCAGCAAAGGCAGCTTTTTGAAAGTGCTGAAATGGAGGGATGGCACCTCCCTAGAGCTAACTTCACCCCTCTCCATGGAAGTGAAGTTTATTATATTGAGTACACCAAAGATTTTACTTAAGATGTGAACAGCGTTATCCCAATGTTGCTTTAAACCTGAGTGACCAGCAAGGTCTTTCTCTTCCTTTGGCTAGAGAATTGTGGCCTTATTTCCTAAAGATGTTGACCGTCTGAGAAGGATGTCTCTGATAGAAGAGGAAGGAAGCAAAAGGATCAACATGGCCCATCTCTGCATTGTGGGCTCCCATGCTGTGAATGGCGTGGCTAAAATCCACTCTAACATCGTGAAGACTGAAGTGTGAGCCTCCGTGACTCTGGCAGTGGGTCTGACACTGATCCATTAATGGAATGGTGCTACTAAATGCAGGGCACTTAAGATTGCACTTAGGGATGAGGAAACGCCTTGTTAAAATGTTTAAAAGTATTTTCTTCTAGACAAAAACCTCTTCTCTTAAAAAAAAAAAAAAAAGGAAAGAAAAAAATGCTTTCCTCTCTGAACCATCCTAATTCTAGACATAGGAGCCAAAACAAACAAACAAATACCAGAAAACTATTCTACTGAAAGTGTGGTATATATGTCAGTGTGAAGAAGTCAGATGGAGGTGATTAGATTTGGAATTTTTCTGGTAATTCTTTTGAATGGCAAATGAATTTCTATTTAAATGACAGCCATAGCTGCTGCCAGCCTGTCCCTCTACCTTTATTTAACCTTTCTAATCCTGCACTTGGCTTCTTGCATATAACTCTGAACTTTATCCAGTATGCAGGACCCTGCTGTTTCAGCCAGATTCAGTGATGTGTCTCCTCCATCTCCAGATTCAAGGACTTCAGTGAGCTAGAACCTGACAAGTTTCAGAATAAAACCAACGGGATCACTCCAAGGCGCTGGCTTTTACTCTGCAACCCAGGACTTGCAGAGCTCATAGCAGAGGTAACTGGGAAGTGCTGAGAGGAAAGAAGGCCAGACTAGAATGCAAGAGACATATGGGTAGACTTTTATAACTGGTAAATCCCGTCTGCAGCAGGCTGGCTTCCCCAGCATGTGGCTTGTGCAGTCACACAGGGCTCTGTGCTGTGTTTAAATCTCTGCTGTAGTCATATTAAAATTATTATTATTATTATTATTATTATTGAGACAGAGTTTCACTCTGTCACCCAGGCTGGAGTGCAGTGGTACAATCTCTGCTCACTGCATCCTTCACCTCCTGGGTTCAGGCGATTTTCCTGCCTCAGCCTCCCGAGTAGCTGGGATTACAGGCGCACGTCAGTCACCATGCACTGCTAATTTTTGTATTTTTAGTAGAAGCGGGGTTTCACCATATTGGCCAGGCTGGTCTCGAACTTCAAACCCCAGGTGATCCACCCCCTCCTGCCCTGGCCTCCCAAACTGCTGGGAATACAGGCATGAGCCATCACACCCAGCTGTCATCTTGAAATTCTTAATTTTAAAACAAAATGTCCCGCAAATTATGTAGCTGGTTGCAGCTAACAGTATTCATAGGACACCCACATAGAAGACAGTTTTCTCTAGTAAAAGAGGATAATAAAGCTCATATAAATAATAGAACCTTGGTTCCTGGGACTCTTATCCATAGATTTCCTGTTTATAACACTTCAATACCAGTGAAGCTGGCTGAGTGCAATGGCTCATGCATATAATCCCAGTGCTTTGGGAGGCCTAGGCAGGAGACTCACTTGAGGCCAGGAGTTGGAAACCAGCCTGGGCAACATAATGAACCCTCCATCCCTTGTTTTTGCAAAAATAAAATTTTAAAAAGTAGCCAGGTGTGGTGGCATGCACCTGTAATCCTGGCTACTGGGAGGCCAAGGCAAGTGAATTGCTTGAGCCCACGAGTTCAAGGCTGCAGTGAGCTATGATCATGACAGTGCATTCCAGCCTGAGTGACAGGGTGAGATCCTGTCTCTAAAAAAATTAAATAAAAATAGGCCAGGGGGAGTGGCTCACACCTGTAATTCTAGCACTTTGGGAAGCCTAGAAAGGCAGATCATGAGGTCAGGAGTTCAAGACCAGCCTGATTAATATGGTAAAATCTCATTCCTGCTAAAAAGATAAAAATTACCCTGGCATGGTGGCACTTGCCTGTAGTCCCAGCTACTCAGGGGGCTGAGGCAGGAGAATCGCTTGAAGCCGGGAGGCAGAGGTTGCAGTGAGCCGAGATCCTGCCACTGCACTCCAGCCTGGGCAACAGAGTGAGACTCTGTCTCAAAAATTAATTAATTAATTAATTAAAATAATTTTTAAAATACCACTGAACCTACATTTAAGATACTAGCAAAAGTAATCTTCCCACATAAAATTTATAGCCTCTTCTCTGAGTCACACTATCCTGTGTTCTGTGTGATACGTGAACTGTACTGTGGTAGGTGATGGAGAGAAATACTGGCAGAAACTGCCCATTTGGGCTTGATTACCATTCCTAAACTGAAGTCACCTTTTCCTTTGAATTGAAAGAAAATTGGGGAAGACTATGTGAAAGACCTGAGCCAGCTGACGAAGCTCCACAGCTTCCTGGGTGATGATGTCTTCCTCCGGGAACTCTCTAATGTGAAGCAGGTGAGCCTTCCAGTGTGGGTCTTCTCCCATTCACTCCCTTTGAGAGTTTATCCTGTAGCTTTTAAAAACAGACCACCCAGCCGTGCACAGTGGCTCACGCCTGTAATTCTAGCACTTTGGGAGGCTGAGGAGGGTGAATCACCTGAGGTCAGGAATTCAAGACCACCCTGGCAAACATGGTGAAACTCCGTCTCTACTAAAATTACAAAAATTATCCGGGCAGTAGTGACGTATGCCTGTGATACCCGACAGGAGAATCACTTGAACGTGGCAGGTGGAGGTTGCAGTGATCCAAGATCGTGCCACTGCACTCCAGCCTAGGCTTTGAAAGAGTGAGACTCGGTCTCAAAAAAATAGAAATAAAAAAACCGACCACCCAATGCTTCTGAGCCAAAAGAGCTCTGGCACCATGCACTGTCTCAACAGGAGAATAAGCTGAAGTTTTCTCAGTTCCTGGAGAAGGAGTACAAAATGAAGATCAACCCATCCTCCATGTTTGACGTCCACGTGAAGAGGATACACGAGTACAAGCGACAGCTCTTGAACTGTCTGCACGTGATCACGATGTACAACCGTGAGTCAGCCCTGTAGCCAACAAGCCGTCTTCCACGTGAAAGCAGCAGCTTCAGCGTAGGTCTCACCGCTCTGACCTTCAGCTGTCTTTCATTCCATCTGCTTCTCCATCTTTTTCAGGCATTAAGAAAGACCCTAAGAAGTTATTCGTGCCAAGGACAGTTATCATTGGTGGTAAAGTAAGTTGATTCTATTCAGTGGGGACTTGGGGGCTCTAATCTCTTGCCATTCTTCTACTTCATCATGGCTGCCTTCTGTCAATGCGTTTGAACTTCTTCCCCAAGGCTGCCCCAGGATATCACATGGCCAAAATGATCATAAAGCTGATCACTTCAGTGGCAGATGTGGTGAACAATGACCCCATGGTTGGAAGCAAGTTAAAAGTAATCTTCTTGGAGAACTACAGAGTATCTCTTGCTGAAAAAGGTACTATCCTTGCAAAACATGCAGGGGCCAGGGCAAACTCTAGAGATCACATGGTATGAAAGATGGTGCAGCCAACCTCCAGGAGCTAGTAACTTAGGATAGAAGGTGTCATTCTTGTGCAGAATAAGGGCCTAAGGTAAGAGTTTTTAAAGTGACCCAAGTCACAACGAAATTGATGCCCTGGAGTCAGTAACACAGGAATATATTTGCAAGCATGTTTTCTTCCAAGCCACTGAGAGCTAGGTGCTGGGGGAGGCAGCCTTGATGTTTGGCATCATTTGGAACTAGCTCTACAAAAGAGAGTAAAGGTCTTCAGTTCCCAGCCCCAGTTTTGCAAGACAACAACAATTCCCCAGTCCTCAGATATTCCTTTGGTCACCCTGTGAGAGGAAGGGCTGTCATTTGCTCATGTAGCAATAATAAATGAGGACAGACGTCAGGCTGCCAAACCACGAGGCTTAGATGTGCCTCACATGGGCACTCCAGCATCAAGCATGATGCTCCCACATGGGGATAGCCAGATGGGCAAGAAGCCAGTGTCTCTTTCTCTTCCACTGGGTTCTTTGGTTATTTGGGTCACAAGCTCACAGAGCACCATCCACATGCAAATGCCCAACTGTGTATTCACCCACTTCCCAAACTGAAAAGATAGAAAGGGAGCTTTTTTTTTGTGTGTGTGTGTGTGTGATGTTTTTAGGCCCTCTGATGTTACTGTTTAAGAACTGTCTGCATAAAGAGAAAAGAGCCAGGTTCCTAGCGATGCAAAAGAAGATACATTTAAACCACAAATAAGCTCTCAGAGTAAAGCAGAGAAGAGGTTCTGATCTTTGTAGTCAAAGGAAGTGCTTCAGGCAGCTCTAATTTGTGTGCAAATCAGCGTGAACAGTCAGAGGCTTGATGTCTAGCTGCAGGCACACCTCAATTGTGTGTGGCTTATTTCCCTGCGGTGAAAGTGGAAGGAAGGAGGTGAGAAGTGGAAGGAATGCAGACAATCCAATCTCCTCAGGTTACCAAAGAGAAGTCCTGGAGAGACACTCTGAATGTTATGGATCAAGAAAGAGAAGTTCAGCATGGGCCACATAGGGAGACCCCATACCTACAAAAATTTTTTAAAATTAGCTGGACATGTCTGGGCGTGGTGGCTTATGTCTGTGATCCCAGCACTTTGGGAAGCTGACGCGGGCAGAGATCAAGACCATCCTGGCTAACACGGTGAAACTCTGTCTCTACTAAAAATACAAAAAAATTAGCCGGGTGTGGTGGCATGTGCCTGTAGTCCCAGCTACTCGGGAGGCTGAGGCAGGAGAATCACTTGGACCGGGGAGGCAGAGATTGCAGTAAA